TTTTATGTGAAGTCTTATGAGCTCAGCCGTCGTGAGGCTTTGCGGATGCCAAGAGCTGCTTTCTAAACCTAGGAATTTTTATAATGCAGAAGCTGTAGGTAGCTCTTGGAAGTAAGATGAAGTTGTATTTGTAAATGTTTGCATTTGCAAAGGCCGTCCTGGTCACCGGTGCCTTCAAAAGCATACGTCATCAGGGGCACAACTGAACTCCTGGTCCCTCCAGGATCACTTAGAGTCATGTGTGTATGTATCGCTCTTTTTTTTCCATCCCCTTTTTAGCCAATTTAGTGCAAGGCTTGAACTCCACAGACCCAGCTGTCAAGGAAAAAACCATTGCTGAAACAGAGAAGAGGCTCCATGATCAAGAAACTAGCAAGGAGGAAGAAAGCAAGACTACGGTGAACAGAACAGTCATCAACACACGAGCTTCTGTAAGGGTTTTTCTCCCTTTGAAGTTAAAGCTGTATGCAATTTAGGTCTTTTAAATAACACTAATTCACATTCCTTGCCCAGGAGAAAAAACTTTGAACAATCCTTACAAGTATGTTCTGTATGTGACTTTATTTTCTTCACTAGTTATCTTATTGGGAGGTGCTTGATGTCATGCTGTCTTTGTCTGAAGACTGCTAATAACACAGAACACTTTTGTTGGTTTTATCCAAGTTGGATGCAACCACTGAGGTGCCATAACTTGCAGCTTTTACCTGTGCTTCAGGAACTTGAGCAAAACTAGTTGAAGACGCAAGAATCCCTTCGTTAATTTCATTAGGCTTTGATTCCTGCAGTAGGGTTTGGATTTCAGTGACTTGACTCATTCAAGATACAAATGGAAGCTTTCTGGTAACGTCAAAAATTACTAAGTCCTTACCATCCTTTGTTTAGGTGACAATTTGATCTTCCCCGTATGCATCAATATGGATATTTCAGACGGCCTGTAGCTTTGAACAACTTAACCGAGTGTTCCTTTGCTGCTGTGGGTTTCACTAAAATGTCTGTACGCGTACATGCATGTGCTGTGCTTCTCTTTTTTAGGACACGGCAAATGCAGAGGCAGCGGACGCAGGTAGGACAGCGCTCCCTCTAGTATTTAGCATCTACTTCAATCTGTTTTAGCAGAGATGGAGTAAGGATTGCTGTTACTTCATGCAAGACCTAATTCCACTCCGGCCAAAGTCAAAGCTAACTTTTCTAGTGACTTTAATCAAAATTCAGTCAGATCTAGGAACACGCTTGAGGATCTTACCACTACGGCTGTACTTGTTCATAGGTAGGAAGCTTGTTGGTGTAGTTATATTCTGGCGTCTCATCTAAAAAGTTAGTATTCTGAATTTAAAAGGAAACAAGTTTATCTCTAGAGATGAGATACTTCGGGGCAAGTCTGCAAATCCTGAGTGGTAGCATGGTCTTTATGTGTAATAGCTTGTCATTCACATTCCAGTTTAATCGTTGAAATGTCCCCTTAATATTTTCTTTGCAGAGAAATGACTCAGAATTACCTTAGAAATGACTTTTTTCTCATCTGTAGATTGATTTTAATGAGGCTTGCTTTTTTTTTTAAAAAAAAAAAAAACTAAAATACCACCAACTCTCCTGGCTCAAAGATGGCTTTCTGGCAATTTTGGAAAAGGATGCAAAAGAACGAGCTAAACGAAGGAAGAGAAATGAACACTTAGCAAATGGTAATTGCTAAAGCCTTTTCTAGCTAATGCCTTCAAAAACTACTTAGCAGGAACTGGGCTAATTTAAGAGGCTATCAAGCTACTCTGTTATTGCCATTCTTATGCACACTGAGACAGCGCTTTGGTTGTCTGAGACCAACATCTTGTCCACAGCATTGATTAGCTGGATATAACAGGGTTCTATACTTCACAGAGTTGTTGCAACCTGTTCTTCTCCATACTATCCTCTTTATGGTAAGGGTTTGGGAAGGAGGGAGCGAGTTTCGGTATTTCAGAGCTGGGCTGGGCAAAGACAAACGCTCAGTTTTCCCTCTAAAAGAGGAGTGGGGATCATGTGCACTGAATAGCTCAGAAGCCCCTTGCAAATAATGGCTAATGAAGTCAGCTGCAGTGGAGCCGGACTGGAATTTTGATGATTATTCCAACAGGAGAATAAGGCCTCTGTTTCCTCAGTCACCGTTTGGGGAAATAAAAAACAAATGTTATTTTGAAGGCATGTCTGTTGTTTTGCAGCTCTGAAAGAGAAGGGAAACGATGCCTTCAGGAAAGGAGACTATGTCATAGCCATTCAGAGATACACTGAAGGTCTGGAAAAACTGAAAGATAAGCAGGAGCTTTACACAAACAGAGCACAGGTCAGCATGTGGAAATGAGCTATCGCTGTAGTGCTTTTAGTGTTACTTTGCCAGAATAGAACCCAAAAAGGATTGTTCTATTATCTAAGTGAATTTCATAAAAGGTAATGTATGTTGCATTACAGCGAGGCTTAAGAAAGGGAGCAAACAATTTTTCCTGGCCGTCCTCCACTACCAGGAATTAATGAGTTCTGCTTTGCTGCCACATTATCAACAGTAAATTTTTACTGTGGCTAGAAGTTAACAGCAAGACAGTGCAGACTGAAGGTTTTAATCTTTTTACAAACTTAACAAAAGAGTTGCAGAAAGAAGGTCATTAGAGGTGTAAATTCTTCCCTCTCGATCGATGTGTCTGAATCCCTTGGAAGCTTTAGTTCTGTTGTGGCTAGTCCTTCCTGAGGGGAGCGTTCATGACTCCTCCCTCTTGGATGTGGCACAGGTGAATTCTAGTTCATAGTTTTACTTAAATGCACTGGGTTTTTTTGGTTTTGTTTTGTTTTGGTTTTTTTAGGGATCACTTTTATAACTGTAGAATGTTAACATATGCTTTGCATTCCCTACTTGCCTTGCATAATCCGTATGTGTGTATTGAGTTTTGTATTATTGAATTTATTCTAAATTACAAACTCCAAGGAGATGGAAGACAAGTTAAGAAACAGCTGGTAATTACCCTCCAAAATCGATGGCTAGGCAAATCAACGGTCTAATTTTATTTTTTTTTCATTACCTAATGTTTGTACAATAGTTAGCGGAAGTTGTCTGAAGTATTCTAATTCTTCTGCCTGGACTCGCTTGGTTTTATTTCAGGCCTACCTGAAGATGCACGAGTATGAAAAAGCCATTGGTGACTGTGAATGGGCATTAAAGGTAACTTCAGGATTCTGTCTCTTGTGATCGGGTCAAGTGCTCCCGGAAGGCAGGTTTGTGTGTAACTGATCATATGGAGACAACTTGCTAGTGGAAATGAAAGAATGTGGTGGTGGTGCACAGATTCCTGCATTCTGAGTTAACTTGAACAGTATAAAGCAGTTAATATTTCAGTGCTGCCTGTGTGCAGAAGCTTTTCTAGCTCTTCAGAGCTTTTAATTAAGAAGTTTGTTATAAGTGATAATAAGCTATTAACGGCCCACATTAGCACACGATATTTTGCTCATCCTTCTAAAAAGGGAAAAGGGACTCTTTAAGCTCACAAAGATCAGATCTGGTGGGGAAGGTAAAGATTATATAAATTGCCAAAGAGGTGAATCCAAATTCAGTTGTGTTACATCAGTGGTGCCCATGACTACAACACAATTAACAGATTATTAGTAATATTGGCGGCATCATTTCAGGAAATCAAGATCTTTGACACATAAGTGAACTGGAAAAGATCACCTAATCTGTTAGTGTTGAGCTAGATGTTTTCTCAATTATTTTCGTGCACAGCTAATGAAAATCAGTACTTACTTCATTCCTGGCAGAACTAATCAAAAGACATATGGAAATTCTGTTGTTACAGAAGTTCTGCAATTATAGACTTGTTGATTCAGGCCTTAACATTACGTAATCGCATGAGAGTCTGCTTGTATTGCCTGAAGTGCAGTTTTCTGGGAAGGATATTAGCATCAGCTGCTTTCCACCTTTAACCAGACCAAAGCCTATATTCCTTGCATAGGGAAGAAAGTTGGTACCTGGAGGTAATAATTCAGCATATAAACATAGTATGAATACCTGCTTCTGTGCTTACAGTTATTTTGGGCGGCTATGACCATTAATCAGAAGCCTGGAAAAGATATTAAAAGGTTAAAATTTTTAAACACATAATTAATAGTTCCTTTTTTAACACAGTGCAATGAAAAATGTATTAAAGCCTATTTTCTAATGGGGAAAGCTCGCCTGGCACTTAAGCACTACAGTGAGGTAAGCTGACTGAATCTTGTGGCCGTGGGACCATGTTTTGTTCTGCTTTTGACGTGATGTTGTGGGTGAGAGGGAGAAATTTGTGATCTTAACAATCAGACAAATGAAAGTTAGTTGAGCCTTTAGGCTTGAGAGAAATTTTCTGTGCTTTGCAAAGACTAATAGTCCTAAACTCAGGTCTTCTTTCCACATCTTAGTAAAATAGCCTGTATCCTTTACTTTGGTACACACAAAATGTAGGAGGACACTTCTGTGTAGCTCTGTCAATTTGTACTCTAATCAACCTCAAAAGAGTGAGAGAATTTTCTATTTGGTATACATGGTTTATCTGGTGGGAATTTGTCACCACTTGGCTGTCAGACACCAAGACAGCAAGCTTTACTCCGGTGCTGTGAGGCTTGAGTCTAAACTGGGTGAGTGTTTCAGGAGCCTGCAAGGATTGTGTATGTGCTCAGAGAATCCTGTGTTTGGCGCTTCTGTTGAAGTGCTTCAAGACTGATATTAGCACTGTGTGCTCAGGGAGGTGGTAGTGCTGGAAGTGCCGTATTTCAGCTCAGGTAAGGATCAGAATGAAGGAGTGCCCTTGTCAGGTACTGCAGACTCTTGTCTGTGTACTCACAGACTCTTGTGACTGCAGTCTGCTAGCAGTGACTACATTTTCCCCAAAGAGACAACTGAGTAAAATGTATTTCACCTTTTTATCCTAAATTGCTCTGTGCAGTGGGTGTTATTAAACTGTTGCTGCATATAACTAAGAAATGATTGCATGTCACCTGTGGATGAGAAAAATCTCCACGTATTTCAAGTTAAGTGAACTGTTAAGATGAAAGATGCTAGTGAGAGCGATACCATTTTTTCCCAAGATCCTAGTGAAATGAATGTCAAACAAAAGATTTAATTCAGCTTTTCATGTGTGAAAACCTAATGGAAGCATAAATAGTGTTAAAATAACGGAACATTCTATTAACAAATGCTTAAGCTTGAAATAAACTGCTAGATATTTTGGTACAACCCTGACCCTTCATCTTCAACAATAATAAAGAGCCTGAAGAGGAGAGCAGGCAAGCTCGAAAGTATTTCTGATCCTGTCAGAGATGACTTCACTAGAAAGAACTGTAGAGCATGGACGATACAAGTCTACATGAAATCCACCTTGAGGGGTTCTTGGCAGCTTGATCTGTGAAGAAGGTTCTTCCCTGTTGCGAGCTTGGTGATCATTTTAATTCTGAGCGTATGCTCAAGATACACAACATGCACAAATAGAAGATAAAAATAGAAGATGCACATGTCTGATCCCTGCTGATAGTTACAGTTCCTGCAGCTATGCCTCATTTTCTGTTTTCTCTCTGGAACTTTGCTTTTTTGTTCCTACTAGTATGTTCCTATCTTTGTACTTGAAATTTTCCTTTTAATTTGAAATAGCAGGCAGATGTAGGGACTGAGAATAATACTCAACTTACACTTTCAATTATGAAAGTTTTGACCTGTGTATCTCCACAAATTTTATTTTTCACACTTACTAAGTACTGTGGCCCAAGAACTTTGGAGCTTAAGCAGGATGACTCTGACTAGGATATAATTTTTATCATCTTCCCATTTTTATCTTAAACTGAGAGCCCGTTTCTTTTCTCTGTTAAGTCCAGGCAGTGTTATGAGAAGATCTTACAGATTGATCCCCAAAAGGAAAGCCTAATTAAAGGTAAGAAATAGAAATTTTTACACTGTCGTCCCTTGTTTTCTGATCCGGATGGAACTTAACTGAAACCACTGTTCTGCTCTTCAGGACTTTTGATGGAGTCTCTTCATGCAGCTTTGGTTTCTGATTGTTTCTTCTTTAAGCTCTGTTTCACTCACCAGAGCCGTGGGTCATTCTGTACATCTGTATGTAGAAGGTAGTGCTCTCTCTGTCATGGAGTCAACTTCATTTTTTACTTGAAACTTGACTGTATCAAAACATTTAACTGCCATGCTTCATTTTCTTTTGAATTCCAAGACTGTATGAATGAGGTAAACTTAGAGGAAAAAAGAGTGAAAGATGAAGAGAGAGCAATGGAGGAGGTTCAGTCTGGAAAGCTTGCCGCTCTGTCCATAAAAGAACTGCTGCAGAAACTTGATAGGCCTGACCAGAATATTCTTTACTATACGGGAGGGATCAGACTTTTGACAGGAGCCGTGAAAGATCGTAAGTATTTGATGCAAAGCTTGTCAGTCATGGGAGTTGTAATCCAAGTAGATGAATACAAGTGGAGTAGCTTTTAAAGGAACATAAAAACTATTCCTATATTTAAAACATAAAATCAGCAATGTTTGATATTTCAAAAATTTATGGCCAGTAGATATTTACATATATTTGTTAGAACTAGACTGATGTTGTAGCTGAGTTGTTAAGACTTCTTATGGATTTGGGTCTCTTAAGTGCTCTTTCATTTCTTTAGAAATATTTGTAATTCTCTGTTAAGGCATGTTGATTTGCAAAGCCAATCTCATGTTTCAGTCTTCCTAAAAAGCCTTTAACTTGAAGTCAATTGTTCTTTAGAGCACCAGGCGTGAACTAGAGCGGTCTTCAGCTTCAAAGCTGCTGCTACTTCAAGTAGCATTCCTGGAGTTTTTCCCCTCTTTTAACAATGTTCTTTCCCCAGAGCTGTTGATCCAGTGACCTTTTCTTTTAACACTGTGTTGTAGAAGAGCAGGAGCCTGCCTTCACAATGATACATCAGCCAGATGAATCGTAGAGCTGATTTGTTTATCTCTGAATTTTTCAGGCACTGAACAAACTTTATTTAGAACAAACAATGGATTCAGTATCCTCAAAGACAACGAGATTGTAAGACGGTAAGAGCTCTCCAAAGGAAAACAGTAGGGTGTTACAGCACGAGGAAATGAAAATACTGTTTTCAAGAAACACAATCGCCTCTTGAAATGCAGATGAAATGATCAAAAGATAATGTAATAACAGATTTTAATGTCTGAATGGACTGACTTATATCTGACTCATACAAACAGTGCTCTCTCAGATGCAGTGAACAGAATTAACGAGTTTCTGCTTCTGTCTCCTATTTCTGTACCGTTATCCTATCTCTCATGGTGAGAGCAGGTTTGTAGAAAAAACTTAATATAAAAGAACATCTGAAAGCGCTTAGTTGCTTTAAGTATACCTGGCTAGACTCCCTGGTGCTGTTAATTGCCATCAGTAAATATTTGGCCATATAGCTCTGTAATGTAGCCTGTGAAACTCTCTAATCCTGTAATCAAGGAAGAGGATCATCTCTGTGGACTGTATCGTCTGCTGCTGCTGTATTTTCTTGGCTGCCATTAGATTGTGTTTCGGTAATTAAGAAACAAATCTGACTAATATTTATCTGCATTGCGTTATAAACTTTGTCTTTAGAGGGATCTCTTGTCTGAATGTATATTTGAGTCGGGTTCAGATAGATAATGGAAACAAGTAAGGCGTGCAAAAGATGCAATTTGAAAATTTTGCACAACTAAGTTGGTTCAGAACAGCATGGCCTGGTTGAATAGGGCAGGAGAGCTATTCTTTAACGTTGTCAGTGGGACTGCAGCACAGAGACTTCCTTAGGATTCATCGGTATTTTGGGTGTTGGCTGTAAACAGACTTAAGAGATGAAGCACCTCCAAATTTGCACAAAGTTTTTTACGCCCTGGCTATTCACAACTGTCTCAGTGCAGAACTGAATTTATCACCTGTATTGTGCTGTGTGATGCTCGTACAGGGTCTGTGTGTGTTGCGGGTAGAGTAGAGCTAGTAGATCATAAACTTGGTCTCAGGGTAGGTCCTCTGGAAAACAAGCCTGATATTCCTGAAAATGTTTAACCGATGAGCTGGGTTTAGAGCTTACGAGCTTAAGTGTTCATGTGGCAGATCCTCATCTGTGTGGGACTTTGCTGATTTCCCTAGCCAAAGAGCTAATTGTTTGATCTGTCCTTTGCTCTTTTTACGAGCTAACTTTTCTAATTTAGGGGCTTCTGTGGAGAGCGAAAAAACACTGCTGAAGTGGATCTGTCTGTTTCTCTTCTCTTCCTTTGGCAAGCTGTCTGCGCTGGGAATGGTAAAACTATGTAATCAACATTAATCGCCGTTAATATGGCACTTACTGTGTCTAAAACTGTTGCTTGGCATGAACATCGCTTTCCCAGAGCACCTGGGTCTAGACCCTTATTGTAAAGAAAGTTTTAGAGGTCAAATGCAAGTGTCTGAGTTATACTGCTAACAGCCACCGCAATTTTGGCAGTTCTGTGCATCACGAAATGAAATTTCCAGTCTATTTCTGTGAGCATTTTAAATCAACCGAAGGGGTGGAAAGTAAATTCCCTGTGATTATTGCTGCTTTTAAGATAATATCACTTGTATAATTTTGACTTTTTTAAGCAGTTATACCAGCAAAAAGCAGAGTTTTGTAGAAGCGTCATTAGAGAAGGCTGAATTCCTTTGGTATTCACAATCAGTAGTCATTAGGCAGAGAAATGGTCTGGGGTGGTGGCAGGTGGTGAAGTGGTGCAGAGTGCCACACAAGGAAAATACAGAGTGCTTGGTGTCAGCGTCCGTGACTTGTATAGCACGGGATCGAGCTGATGCCCAGGAGAATATTCATGCTGCAAGGTAAGGGGAAAACCCGTTTTATATTCTGCCTGTAGGTAGTTAGCAGTAAATAGAGAGTAATGTGCTGCAGGCTTGTGTAGCTTACATGTTTGTGCCTGGCAGGGCAGTGTACTATTGTGCCTGAACAGCCTGGACCCTAGCAGTTGATGAAGCGAGGAGCACTTTGTGCTCACGATTCTGGTGTCTCTTTGTTTGAAGAAGCGCTTGGTGCCTGAGAAGCTAGCATGTTGCTAGCGAGAGCAGAATTTCAAACACCAGTGTATGTGTTGAAGTAATGGAGCTGAGAGGAGATTAGTGGCTGTTCTTATGGCCTTACCATTGCTCTGCAGGAGTGTTATGCAAGATGAACACATCAGAGTGAATGAGCACATTAGTGGATGAAATAAAGACGTTAAACCTGTTAAATCAGCACCTAGGGAAAAAACAATTATAAGGGTAATGGGGATGCCATTGTGTGTGACATTGCTCTTAGATCTTCTCTTTTTTTTCCCAGAAGAGAATCAGCGTCTTCTATTGACTCACCCTGATGTGAATGCACAGCTGCCAAAACTGCTTTCTTCTGGGGTATCGGAGATCCAAAAGGAGACGTTGGCGCTAATTTCTCTTTACTCAGAGAATGAGAATGGGAGGAGACTGCTGGTCAGGCACCAGGACCTAACCAAGTAATAAACACTGCTATACCTCAGAAAAAATTCCTTCATGCCTGGGTTCACAGATGTTCAGAACTCATTCCACTAGCACCAAGGTGACGGGCTTTCTGAAAGGAGCACAATGACAGTGAGACTTCTGTCCTTGAGGGATAGGCCTAGCTAAGCAAAAGCAAGTTAGGTGTGTGGGGAAAACTATAGTAAACTTTGTGTCTGAAGATGTCTGTGAAACTAAGTAGAAAGGGCTTGTTCCTGAGGACGTTCATGTAATTTTGAGGCATAGTTACCTTTTTTAAACCAGTAAGCCTGTGTTTGTCTAGCGCTTAATCAGGAGCTTACACTGTTGTCTCTTAATAGCTCATGGTTTCAAGCTGCGACTCTCTCCTCATTTGGTAATTGGTATTTCCGATTATTCAGTGTTGCCATGACTCACTGAGTGGAGAAAGAAACAACAGTCTATTACCTTTATCCTATTGTCCTGCTATGTCCTTCTAGAGTTAAGCAGAGGAGAAATTTTAATTTACTGGTTTGCACTACACGGTTTGAAGTAATGGATGAACAGAAAAGATTTTCCAACAGTTGTACACACTGCACTGTATTATATACAACATTATTCCAGAGACATTTTTCCTTGGAGGAAAGGTTAAAGAAATGAGCCACATCTGAGAGGATGCTTATAAAAGGCAGATGTGCCTTTAGAATTAGAAGCCTTCACTGTGGCTTGAAATATCAGGAGCCTGAAAAATCTTCTATCAAGTTCTGAAAGAGATCCTGGGCCTGATTGCTTGAAGAGTTAGGATGTTCAGAAGGTAAAGTTGCAGATACCGAGCTTCTCGGCAGTTAGGCTTGTCATCAAAAAGAGACGAGACTATAGGTTCTCTTACTGTGCTATGAAGTTGGAGAAGAGCGGCAGAGAATTTCAGCTCAGTAGAGGAGCATGTGGAAACCCCAGCACATGTCTGCAGAGGTACTTCTGTTCGGCAGAGCTTATGGGGTCACAGTCTGAAGTCCTGTGAGTTGCATGCCGTTCAAATCCCACAGCCACAAACACACAGTATTCTAAAAACTCAGAAGGTGAATGGTATGGTGCTCTTTTTATTCAGGCAGGAGATTAATTTTTCTTTGCTACTATAAAGCTTTTTAGTTAAACCCCTCCAAAGACTGTTGGGTTTGCTCAGCATGCCCTTTTAAGCCATGCAGGCATCAACACTGACACTCCCTGCAGGCCTTTACAATCTGTTGAAGCTGTTCAGTACTGGGCTGTGCTGATGGTGTTCTCGGTCCTGACTATTGCATTCTACTTGTCTGTCCCTAAGATGTTCGCCAGCAGCGAAGCAGCTTAGCTTCAAATGTCTGTGAAGCTTACACGCTGATGAAATGTTCTAATGCTGACAGAAATTGGTACGTGTGTTAAAATCACTGTACTTGTGCAAAGAGGGACAATATTGCATGAGAATCCAGTGCCAAAGTATTGTTCTAATGGCAGTTAGGTGTCTGAGTATGTTTGGAGGGCCTAGTATGCCCAGCCTGGTCAAAACCCTACTAAACACAAAGGAGTTTAAGATCATAAACTGGGATGGTGCGCTTAAAATACAGTTTTGATCTTCAATAATTAAACCAAAACTCACATAAATTTTTTTGGGTTTTTTTAATAAGATGGCTGCAGATTTTGATGACGTTTGTCAACAGCACTGATGCCAGGGCTAGCAGTGCCATGAACATACTATCTGATTTAACTGAAGAGGAAAGGTAACTTACATTTCTTCTTTCTTTTTTATAAAGTTGTACTTTGAAATGTACTAAGTGAGTAGAGGCTGTTGGCCGCCTTTGCTGTGAGGGTACATTGCTGACTGATGTTTACCTGTCTTTATGTTGCTGTTGTGTTTTATCTGTGACTTTTGTCTAAAGCTTTAAGTGTCCAAATATGGCTTTCTTTCAACAGGTTCAAAACCCAGTGTCGTGTCACGCTTTCCACAGGTGTTTTACCTTTATTCGCTCAGTTGCTGGTATGAAAGATCTCAGTTTCTGTATTTCTGGTTTACTTTTGTGTAACGTGTCTTATGAGCGCTCTTTCCAGCTTTACAGCCAGTTGTTCCTAGACAGAACCCCTCTGTGGTAGAACTGCAGTAGTTGCTGTGTCTCTAGTTCTGTAGGCGTAAGAAATCCGGTTTTGTCATACACTTTCCTCAGGAAAATGTTCTCAGTCTCCAGTACTTAGTGCTTGGTTTCTACATATTACGAGTTTGTATTCAGTGAAAACTCTGGACTTGGTTGCAGATTCCCACTGCTAATCTGTCAGGCCAGGATTTCACCCTCAGCTTTGTGTTACGCTCTTCTTAATGTAACTTTAATCTGTTGTCACCAGCTGGTTATATCTTGGATAGCGACTTTTTCTGTTTCTTTCTAATCTGAGACATCAGGGTGTAGAGATGACATTAGGTCACAAGGTAAAGATGCTTAGTGGTTCAGATCCCTTTCCTGGTTGTTGTTTATTTAAACTACAAACTTACAATACTGTTGGTACAGAAACCTGTCCTCAGGAAGAGGGAAGATGATAGGGAAGATTGGTCCTGTTGCAGAACGGCAGATATAGCTGGAAAGGAAAATACTTCCACTTCTCCAAACGAGCACCAAGACAATGCAATAATTACAGCATTTTTACATTGCTTGTTGCTCTCTCCTTTTGAACATACCTTACTGGAATTAGAGCTGCAGCAGAGGCTGGTCTGTTCTGTGACCGAAGTAAGCAATAGTAGGAAATACTCACAGCCTGAGGTTAGGGACCACAGAATCCAGTCGCTTCTTCCCAAGACTCTTAAAACCTCGTCGGGAGATTCATTGTGAAAGTGAGGGTGACTTGCAAACTTTGGACAGGGATTTAACATAGGTGAGAGAGATTCTGGAATCCCATTTTCTATTGCCAGAGGGATAGGAACACGTATTTGTTGTTTCCTTGTCATTTGTTCTTAGTTTGTTATTCTACTCTTCTGTTTTCAGACCTCTGCCAAGCTGGTGAACCAGGCAGCCCTTGCCCGTTGCATTGGCATCATGGGGAATCTGTGTGCAGATGTAGTCATTCGAATGCAGATGGCCGAGTGCAAAGAGTGCTGGCAAGCGTGCTTAAAGCTTGTGGTAAAGAAACTTGATGGCTCCGTAGAATACTGTTTTCAGCCCTATCTCCTGTGGAAATGGCACTTGCGTGATCATGTTTGTCTGCCTCCCCTAATAGTTCTGAACCCTTGACTGAGGTCTTTCAAATCTGGTAGTTGGATGAAGGCCTCAAGGCGGTCCATCGTTCCCCATCGTTCATACTGAGGTCTTTCAAATCTGGTAGTTGGATAAAGGCCTCAAGGCGGTCCGTCGTTCACGTTAAGTTGTGGATCGGTATATGGGTGGAGGAGAGCTAGTGGTTGGTTATTGTAAGCAGCCCCTTTCAGGGTAAGGGTGCGGTGTGAACTCGGTCCGCAGAAACTAAAGAATTCAGAGGGTGGGAAAGGATCTTGTTAGCTGCCTAAACATCAGAAGTTTGGAGTGTGCGGCTTTACATACCAAAGTGAAACAAACACAAGGATGAATCTGTATCAAAAAGGCATCATTAGCTCGGGTGCTCACAGGACTTTTTCTTCCTTCTGAGTTCGTGGTGCATTAGGGGAACACCGATGCACCATGTGAGTAAGCACACGGAATACTGAGGAAGTGCATCTTCTGAACCTCTGAATTGATGGCGCTCTTCTCTCCTTTGTACACAGGATGAATGCTTTGATGTCAGCGTACCCAAATACCAGGAGTGTTTGTTTGCAGTGCTGGGCCTAATGATGAACTTACTGCTTGAATCAAATGTGATCATCCAGGTATGCAAGATCTGTGAATGTTCTTCGGTAGTGGTGTTCTTATAATCACTTCCTCAGAGATTCAGAATTGCTTGAGCAGTTAGAGATCCTCCTCCCTTCTCACTGTAAGTGGGCCTGATGCAAGTCACTGAAGTCATACCAGAACTTTCAAATAGAATAGGTGAGGGAATGACTGTGGAATATAGTGAACTTGCAGTCTGTACAGGGAAAAAGAGCTTGATTCTGTTAGATGGATTTAGACCCCTCTTTCACATCAAGCATGCTGAAGCACTTAAAGGCTGCCAACCTTGGATTTTGCTGGTGTTCAGTTAATTTTTAATTTTATTGGTGTTTAAGGTTATCATTAAGGGTAGTTGACAGTTTAAGTAAGCTAAAAAGTGACAAAATTTACAAAATTTTCTCCTCCACCGCCACCCCCCCATATACACACAGTTATGAGAAAAATACAGTGTAAAGCACATACAGTACCTTTCCGTAGTGGTATAAATGTTTTGTTTGGTCTCCAATTATGGAATTAGTCTCCAATTATGGGATATTCTTAGATGCTTGGCACAGTCCAAAATTATTTAAAACTAAGGATTCCATCAAGAAGGAAGAATTTCTTATTACATCTGAGTGCTGAAGTGTTAGTAACCTACTGCCATGTGTGCCTTGATCTCCATTGGATTCTTTGTTGTAGAGTACTTTGTCTATTAACCCGTTTCTGCTCTAACGCTTCCCAGCAATCCGCTGGAGCTGAGTTTTTCCCATTGTTGTTTCAGCACTTTGCTGTGGACATAAGTGGCCGGTGCATGTCTCTCCTCAGGGATAAGGACGGAAGGATTGTGACAGTAAGTGGGATATCTACGGACTAATGAAAGATTGTATTAGCTGACCTGACCTGAACACTTCAGTGCAAACTGCTGCCCTAGAATCATAGAATCGTTTAGGTTGGAAAAGACCTTTAAGGTCATCAAGTCCAACCATTAACCTAGTGCTGCCGAGTCCACCACTAAACCATGGTCCTAAGCACCACATCTATACGTCTTTTAAATACCTCCCTGTGCAAGTCTGTACATTAGGCTTTGAAGCCTAAAGCATTCACAATTAGTAGTAGTAAAGAAATAATATACCACTTATATTATTCAGATTTTTATATTGTTTGATGCAAGAGGTTCTCAATGTTCTCTTGAAATCTACTTAATAGAAGCTCTTACAAATCGTTTAATCCTTAGGATGGTTTTCAATATAAAACTCTTTAAAAAAAAAAAAAAAATCAACCTAGAAGCAAAGGAGCGAGAACAATTTGGGTATTTAGCAGCTGTTTCTTTTTACAGTTCTTTTATGTGAATCATACCTAGGAGATTGTACTCCTATTAATGGTGTGTAACTCCCACGGGTAGCAGTTATTCAAGGCAAATGGGTAGGAGCAGATGTGGACTCAGAGTCCGTTCACCTCTCTGAACTCACATGAATTGTTTTGATCTGTTTTACTTGACTCAATACCAGCAGCACTGGCCTGGTTTCTACTAGGAATTTGTTTCAATAAATAAACATACAGGGAGTTGTCCTGGTCTCCGTTTGGTCTCGGCTCTCCCTACACTGAGTCTTTAGAAGCTGTGCCGAGTTCAGTTTCCAGTAAGCAATAAAAAAGCCATGTCCTGAAGATGTTCTTCGTTACATTTCTGTAAATTACTCCTTTTATCACTTTAAATACTTCGGGTTTATTCTGCAAAAACAAAATAATTTGAAAACTCCTTAAAGTTGTCTGGACAAATAAACTTCTTTTTTTCCTTCTCTCACACTGTTTTCTAATAAAGAGAGCCATTGGAGTGCTAAGTCGCGTCCTGCCAGCATCCTCCTCGGCAGTAGAAGAAGTAGTGAAAGGAGGGGTGGTGAAGAAAATGATCAAATTCTTGAAAGTAAATTAACAAAGTTCACTGTATTTCTGCTTGTATTGTCCCTTAAGAAAACCATAGTTGCCCCTGTGTTTAGCCTCCTTTTGCTAGGAGAAAGACCTGTGCAGTCACTCTGGCTGCATGTGTCTGCATCTGTGTTGTCCATTGTAACAGTGCTCTCAAGTTTAATTTTAAGCTAGGTAGCCAGTTTGGAGGCTAGACTGCCTTCTGTAGTCTGGTCTATAGCCCAGATTTTTCAGTTGTTTCCGTATGAGCCAGATGCGGGTGCTCAGCTCTGCTTGCAGAGACCTGCAAATTCAAGAATCCACTACCGCAGGCCCAGTTGGAGGATTAAAGCTTAAAATTGGTGTGATCTAATTCGGACCACTGAAAAGCAATGGAGCCCTTTCCACTGATTATCAGTGACTGCTGATTCAAGCTTGGGAGCAATTTTTCCCTAAATAATGCGTATGTTAATCTGTAGACACTGTTTTGCTGTATATCTGTGTATCTAGCAGAATGCGTATCTACCCAGGCTGATGTGGATTCTACAGATTTGCTAAGATGCAGATAAAATTAGTCTAGAAAAAGGTTGTGACACTCAGCTTGGCTCTTCTAACTAGCAAGCATCAGAGGAGTTAATAGTTTGAAAGGAATCGGCCTCCAGAGATTCAGGGAATTTTGTATGTTCGTCGCTGGCAGGAAAGAGATGGTTCTTGTGTCATTTTCAGCCCGTGTTTGTCTTGAGATCTATACTCTACAAAGGTCTTAATTTGGTATTTGGGCTTAGGCATGAGGAATACCTAACTAGCTCCATGGTACCTAAGCTATTCTGTAACCTTGAGTAAGTTGGTGTATGAACTGTATGTTAATGTATGCTTTATTCTAATCAAATCTAGGCTGGAGGACAGATCACATCCAATTACGGTATAAAGACCCTATCCATCTGCACCAGAACTAATAGACAAGCGCAAGAAGATCTAGTGAAGTCAGATAAAAGTAAGTGACAACTTCACTAACTAGGGACTGAATGCAGAGATGTAATCTCAGTATCGTCCAATTACTTTCTTCCCCTCTAGAATGGAACTGAACACTGGGTTTTACTCTTGCAAGCCTTTAGCCATGTTTTCTGAGGAATGTGCTGTTTTACCTCCTGAGATAGGGCTCAGTGAGCCTTAGCTCTGTGTGGGGATGGAAACAGGCACATCAGATAATGAGCCTGAGTTAGAGAAACTGTGCTTTACTCTAGTAAAATGGCTTGATACGCTTTTTCAGAGCCAGAAATATGTATATTTTGAAAAAAATGCTTGTAAACTGTAACTGAATTAGGTTGTATTTCCCAAAGTTAGTGGCTAAAATAAGAAACGTCATTTAGACACCTGATTTCCAGAGGTTGAGACTGTTTATAGTTTCCTTCAATTTACATGTGGATGTTTGGCATGCTATTAAAAGGAAATGGATATGGAGACAGAGTGACGATATCAGACCAGGTGTCTTACGGTATTTTTGAGTATATTCGCTCTAGTCATGCGATATAACACTACTTAAATTGCTTTAAAATCCAGGTTCAATTAATGCTAATGTAAGTACAACAGAGAATACTTATGTTTTATCTAAATGGTTGAACCTGTCAAGAAACTGTCAGCTCGTGTAGTTCAACTTGAACCCTAAGGATTTCCACTCATTAAAAGCCTCTCACAGCATCATCTTCCTTTTGTACACCCCGTATTAGTTTCACTGTCATCCGTAGATGAAGCTTTCATTTCCTCAAATTAGCAATAAGCCTTCGCTCTCATTGTTTCCACCAAAACTCTGGGTATTAATCTTGTGAGAAGTCACTATTTCTTACTTTTGTCATCTCTGTTTGCCAACCCAGACGTTGCCCTGTTGCTAGGAGCCTGTTGGAATCGAGCTATAGTCCCATGACATGAAATTGCATTCCAGCTGGGCCACTTAGTTCAGCTTCTGCACCAGCCACTGTTGCTGGTTGGAGCAGCACTGCCTTTTCAGAAGATACTATTGCAGCAGAAAAGGTGGCATGTCATCTGGAAGAACAGATGGGACCGTGAAAGAAAACCAAAGCAAACTTATGTAAACCTCAAGGAAACTTCATGCGTGTGAAAGCCATCGCTGTATTTTATTTAGAAAGCAGTCCATCTAAATGTTTCTAGGTTCTGTGGCCTGAGATGTTGCTGCTGCTTACAGATGCCAGCAAGAGCTATACAACTCTGTGTCAAGACTATAGGCAAAATACTCTGCCGCTGTACATTAGGATAGGTTACAGAAGTAGATGAGCTGAGCTGCTTTATGTTAGCTAAGGATATATAGAAAGCTTTTTTATGTTCCTTTTTTCAGCTATTCTTTCCACAACAGCATTTCTGTCTTAACACATTTAGTTTGGTACTGTAAGTGCTCTACTCTGTGCTTGCCCTGCTAGTACGGTGGGGTGAGAGGCCAGTGCAAGATCCTGCAAGCAGCAAAGGTGGCATGTTCAGTTTCAGAGAAATATTAAACAAATGCAGAAACACAAGCTCCATGCTAGAGAACCTCTTAGAGTGTAGGTTCAGTTTTGTGAGCAAGACATCTAGGCAGGTGAAGCTGAGACAGCATCCTGGATCCTGAACCTTGCTATGGAATTCCCTTGCTCCTCCAGGTTTTCTAGAAAAATGCACAACGCGGAACAACACTCACTCGCTAGGAGTTTAGGTAAAGACGGGAGAAAATATCAGTGCTACTTGAACAAATCAGTGTGCATTCTGTACAATTAATCTCTCTTTCTCCCAGGGTTCAGTGTGCTGCTGAAGCTCTTGGACTCAGAGAATGAAATGATTGTGGGAAATGCTGCTTTCTGCCTTGGTCAGTGCCTTGTAGTTCCTGGAGCAGCAACGTCCTTACTGAATTCCAACGTTGTGATGATTTTGTTGAAACATGCTGGTGGTGATGCTACCAGAACTTTAGTGCAGGAGAATGCGGCAATTGCTCTGGGGAAGCTTTGTGTCGCCGAACCAAGGTATTGTAAAAAAGAGTATTGTTCTCCTGCACCATCTGGTTGTTGTTAGGTGATAATTCTGGAAAAACTGACCAGTGTAAGTCAATTCTCTTCGTAGAGCGAGCAGGTACAGGGCAGATGATTAGTTTATGTAAATACTCCATGAAATCTATCACCCGTCCTCCAACTAGAATTCCCACTTGTGGTACTGTCCCCACAGTTCTGCTTTAGGGTTCCTGTGTTGTTAGTTGGCTGTCTTAACGTGTTTCAAGGAGCTCATTTTGCATTGCTTTCTGATGTTACCTGTGCTGGAAGAATGGAAGGAGGAGGAGTGGTGTTCTAAGTTTGTAGAGGTCAGAGCGATAATGAGAGCAAAACAAAAGTATAAATGTCAGCAAAGAATGTCTGCTGCTGTCTGCCAAGAGTATGCCAAGCTCTAGCTAGCTACAAACTGTCAACTGGGTCTTGAACTGCGTTCCAGACAGAGGAACTGAGTTCGACTTATTAATATACATCCTGAGCCACTGCAGAAAGCAAGGGATAGTGCTTAGGTTCCAAATATTTAAGTACCTTGCTTCTGTTGGAGGTCACAAATGAGCAATAGAGAAAGTATCTGCTCTGAGATTTGCAAAACGATCCAGAGATATAAAAGAGAAACACCTTATTTTCTTAGGTTTGTTAATTTGGAATGTCACCTATTTGAACGATTGTCAAGTAGTGTTTAGAACTTTCATTTTCCTTTTTGTGGGAAATAGTAATCTAGAAACTGTTTCTCATGCTACTTTATGAGGAATTTATCGAATGTGGCATTAAACATCCTTGACAGTTTGGGCATGGGGTATAGCAGAGCAGTGGAAGCTTAAAACTTTTGTTAGCCATCTTATATTCCCCCAGCAACCTTTCTGTTGTCTTTTCAGGCATATTTTTCAACTGCGGAAACTCAATGGACTGGCCATCCTGAACTCCGCTATGAAATACGTGCATAGCATCTGAAGTCTTCAAGAGAGCTTCGAAACGTGCTGTTAATATCACTTGCTGTTGAGTATTTTCTTCTTTCCTTTAATAAAACTAACTCAAAGCACATCGACTTTTCAATCCCTTTTCAAAGTGTGTGCTGATCCTCCATAGAAGCCAGTGAAACAATATCAATATAAGTATCAGGAGAAAGAAGTTAATATCTTATCTAGGCTAACAACTAAAATAACAGCTTGCGTTACGCTTGTCTTTGCTTTAATAAATGATGTTGCCCTTTCTTACTGGCGAGTTCCTTGCTGGTTAATCATTGACCAATGGCTCGTCTAGTCTACTTTCCAGTTTGGGTCCAGTACCCAGTGTATTAGAAGAAAATAGAAATAAATTTTGAGCTGTGACTTTGAAGAATCCTTCCCCCCCTCCCCATACGCTGTCCTCTAGTGGCGAGATCATGATTCGATATCGCATGCGTGATATCACCTCACACTTTGCTTAAACCTTAAATCTCATACTTACCTGCTTAAATATGTTGGGCTTAATTTCACTAAGCGCTCGATCTTAGCGATAACTTATGACAATGAGGTTTGTTTATGAATTATGGGCTGTTTATTTTAGTAGCGTCACACTTACTGTCTTCGTAAATTTAATGGTATCCCTTGGTCCTTTACTTTTGTGTGGAGTAAGAACAGTAGTTGACCTTCCTGATCTTAAGTACTTTCTCATGGCCCCTTGTGTTCATCTCTGATCTCCTCTACAGTTACTCATCTTTTTAAACAAGAACATAAATGGCACATCTTTCTAGCGTCTGTGTTTTCTGGTGAGGTCAAAAATGAATTACTACTAATGGCAAGTGTAATTTGAAAAGAAAGGCAGTAATGCATTGCTCTGGCCTCTTATGTGTTCTTCCAAAAAGGCAGTTTAAGATGCTTCTGGAAAGCATATCTATTGAGGACTCTGGTGGTGGTGCTAACAGAACAGCAGCTAGAGTACTGCTGGCGGAAGCCTGTCAAATTTAACGAATAGTCTCTTCACAAATAAACAGATGCACGTAGACACAAATCTATACGAAAAGCTTGTAGAACTTAGGCTAGACGAGGACTTTGGCCATAAATACAATACTTCTTTTTTTGCCTTGGTTTTGAACACAGGCAACAAAAGAATATATTACGTTTATATGAAGAAGCACAGGCCAGTCATGTTTGACTTTAAAATGGCTCTTCAATTTGCTTTCTTGACACCCGTGGGTGTCTATTCTGTATGTAATCTTGTCCCTTCAGAACAGTGGCTGACAAATTATATATCATCTCCTTTTCAAAATAGCAGCTGAATCATCTTCCCACTTCAGAAGAAGGAAGTTCGTTTGCACCTGGTTTTTCTCCCCTCACAGTGAAAAGCATACAATTGACAATCTCACTGGCTTTTTTTTTTTTAAGCTCCTACCATTAAGTTACACCCTGCCTAGACAAATGTGTAACAAATACTGTGTGTAGGGTTCAAGGCCAAATAAGCACTACGCTCTAAACCTGACAAATACCAAGCATTGTCTTAAGGAAAAAAAGTTATTGAATCGTTGTGTTTACAGAGGCAGGATGTCAGAGGGGAACAGCAGGTGTAATGTGTCACCAGAAAATTACAGGAGAGTCGAAATCATCTTAAAAGCCAAAAAGCTAAAGCTCTATCTTGGTTTTGACTGACAAGTGGGGTTTTGCTTAATGGAACCTTTCACATACCAGTTGCTATTGTCCCCAGAAGAAAATGGTGATCAGGTAAGAGAATTGCTTCTAACTGCCTTCTGCAAAAGGTGTTTGAGAACTGATTTGTCCTCCTCAAAAAGAATTACTATTGCAGAATTTTTACGAGCGCACCAGGTTACCAGCAGCAACTACTGCCATTTGGGGATGGGAAGCAGACCTGAGCAATCAAGCAGTTACAGAAGGGGCATTGAGCTTGTACAAGCTATAGTCCCATTTGAAGAACAAAGAACCTGCCAGTAGGTCCTAGCTGGGAGTCACCGTGAGTTTATGGATCACTTTTGTAGCATCTTTAAACTTGTAAAACAGTTGCACCAGATTTTATGGTTCAGGAATATGTCTTGACCGGTATTCAGGTAGTATAACTCATGACAATCTGTGGGAAGAGACCCATGCCTTCTCAAGGGTAAAAGTGGTCTGCAGAGACTATGAGTGTACTAACTACTGTTTCTAGTAGAATTATTCCTTTAGTTATAATTGTAAAGTTTCATGCTGTTTAGTTTTAACAGTACCAGGTCTGGTATCCATGCTGATGTATCGTGCTACTTTCTGTCTGTCAAACAATGTGATATGGGTTGAATTGCAGATCGCAAACTTTGATCACAGTACCTAGGATGCAAAACAGCATATCTGTTCTAGTCCAGGTAACACAGTAATACAGACTTGGCCTCACTATTGGCTGTGTGAAGACAAGACCAGGCAATGGTTAGACTGTCAGTCAGAGGAAGAAGCAGAACACAACTTGGAGATGTGGAACTTCTGGAAACGGAGCCTTCTTGAAAGTGTTTAATGTGTTAGCGAACGTGACAAATTACTGTGTGCTGGTTTTGGGTAAAGGCACCGACTAAAATTAGGGCCCTGTCTGTCAGATGCTGTACAAATGCCAGTCAGGATAATCTTCTTTCCCAGACAACTTGCAGAGTGGGAAAAAGATGAAGTGACCTGACCTTGGTTACCACATTCAGGTGAGTGACATGGCTAGGACTGGAAATTATATCTGTCAGCACCTAATCTGTTGTATTATCTACTAGACTACACTTTCGGTTTGCTGAAGGATGGATAATGGCTTATTGTTACTTCCCTCAAGAGCAATCACCTTGTCCTCAGTGTCTTTTGCAATGCTTTTCTGAGCTGTCATTATGCTACGTATCTGACTTTTGCTCTTTTTTTTTTACATATGATTTCCACTGCACTCGCAACAGTCATGGCTATGTAATAATGTCCTCTCATCTCCTTAACCTGCATTGCTCTAAATTTCCTGTCTCCAAGAGTTTCGCTTGCTATTTGTGTGTGTGCAGGTGCCTGGCACTAAAAAGATGCCTGATGTATTACTGCTTACTATCTTCAGGTGAATATTTGCAAGGACACTAGGGTCTTACAGTTAAAGGTAAAAAGAGCGTAACTGCAACTTTGCTTAAGAAGCCTCTGCTCTCTTCTCTGGTTATTATGAAAGTTTAAACTGTGTGCTTGTTAAGCGTTTGTCGTGCTTGTTCTTTCACTATGGTTCTCATTCCTGTCTCACCAAAATGTTAGTTCAGGCTGCTCTGAGCCAGATGGGGTTAGTTGCTGTACTGTAATCTGCTTCTTTTCAGTGTGTGTTGGCTTTTCTCCGCATCTCTTGAATTAAGAACACACGTTGCCAATGCTTGTAGGCCTAGGGAAGAAAGGATCCAGCAGGCTTGATAGACAGAAGCAGCACCACCAGCAGCCTTCCTCTGTGGCCTAACCCTACCTGGAGGGTCACGGGGAGAGAATGTCCATCTTATTTGGGCTCACAGAGCCAAACACCTACATAAATGTATTGCTTTAGTGAAGTGTCTCCCATCTGGGATCCAGACTGATCCCTGCGTATATTTGTCTCAGCACAAACTGGCAAAACCTTCTGACCCTTACTGGGTAGAACTAGAATTACAGAGTTATAGAATAGTTCAGTTGGAAGGGACCTACAATGATCGTCTAGTCCAACTGCCTGACCACTTCAGGGCTGACCAAAAGTTAAAGCATGTTATTAAGGGCACTGTCCAAATGCCACCTAAACACTGGCAGGCTTGGGGCTTCGATCACCTCTCTAGGAAGCCTGTTCCAGGGTTTGACCACCCTCCCGGTAAAGAAATGCTTCCTAATGTCCAGTCTGAACCTCCCCTGACGCAGCTGTGAGCCGTTCCCGCACGTCCTGTCGCGGGATCCCAGGGAGAAGAGATCAGCGCCTCCCTCTCCCCTTCCCCTCCTCGGGAAGCTGTAGAGAGCGAGGAGGTCGCCCCTCAGCCTCCTTTTCTCCAGACTAGACAAGCCCAAAGTCCTCAGCCGCTCCTCACAGGACATGCCTTCCAGCCCTTTCACCAGCTTTGTTGCCCTCCTCTGGACGCATTCAAGGACCTTCGCAGCCTTTTAAAATGGTGGGGCCCAGAACTGCACACAGTACTCAAGGTAGCATTTTAACTCTTTCTTCAGAGATAAAGAGCTGCCTTGCCTAGGCAACCTCTCCTTTACAATCATGTTTTCCATCTTTGCCACACATGTGAACACACTCTCTCCTTTTGTTAAAAATCAATTGATTCCAATTGGTGCAGGCTTTTTTTTTTTTCTTGGAACAGATTATTGGTTGCTGCCTGGCCTAAGCTCTTATAAAGTAACCCAATACTCTGCCCTTCCAGAACAAACACAGCAAATACCCATTGCTAAGAGGCAGCAGTGACTCCTTAGCGAGCTGCGAGCTGCCTGAATATATTGTTATTGGGGTAACTCAGGAGCTGTTTCACAAGATGCAGGAAAAATTCCTCATCTTTATTCTGATTGCAGCTGGACTGTTGGATTTATCTGGTGAGTGATGTGTTTTGTTCTAATCTCAATTGCTGTCTTTCTGCCTGCTTTTCCTCTATTATCAGTGAGCAGAAAAACTATGCTAAATATTGTGCCATCAGTCTCAGGTGTGTGACAACAATGCGATGAAAGAGCGACTTCTCTCTGTGCAGCTGTACTGTAAGGCTCAAGATTTGGTTTAAATGGTTTCTGTTGCGGGAGTATTAGTAGCTCCAAATCAGGACACAGCTGTGCTACTTACCCAAGCTAAGAGACAGTCCATTCCCCAAAGAATATATTGTCTCCTTCAGGTCGGGGAAAGCAAAGGAAAAACAGTCACTTTTCACAGAGTAGGTCCATAGCAGAACTGAGGATCAAACTCCTGTCTGCTGAAGCCTTGTTCAGAATATACATTTCCAGGCACCACTGTTTATCACATTAAGCACGGGCTCCCCTCTTCACCATGCAGTAACACGTTGTTCTGCATTTTCTTTGGAAACAGCTGTCCTGCCAAGTATTTCTGACAGCATGAAATCAATGATGAGTTTGTAATGCTGTCATGCCTCAAACGAGTTCTTAGGGCTGCTGTCACTCAATGCAGGGAACAGGGAACCAGTCAGTCTTTGCTTTCTACCTCTTATGGTGTGCCTGTGAGCATACCCTGC